AGAGTTTTGCTATTTGTTCATTTGTTAACAGTATTGGAAATTAAGAATTAAACTAAAAAACGGATTAGGATTAAGTTAGAAAACGCAGTAGATAAATATAGTAGATATAGTATAAATATATACTAGAGCACCATTGAATTATAGCCGCATTTGACACTATCGCAACATCTTGTATCAGTTAATACTAATGCAAAATTGTTTTTCCTCAGTTGATACTATTGCAACGTTTATAAAATATCTTTCGCGCCATCTGGGTTGAGTGTTCCAGGTTATAAAATGTTCAATTCACTGAACATTTTATAACCTCTATTTAATTCAGCGAATAGTAAATTTAAATTGATTGGTTTATTATTTATTTATTTGTATTTGATATTTATCTTTTTTTTAGCTTAAATGATATTTTAGTTTCTGAAACTCATAAATAATAAAAATCAATTCCATTGATTGAAAACTGTTATAAATAAAAAATATTTTGCTACCGTATCGGTTGCTATTAGGAAACTTGTTATTTTGGCATTAACAGCAACTTTTTTTGCGTGACTAGAGTTTTAGTTGTTTCTCCCCAGCCTCCTGAGCATTTACACTTTGTTCTTCTACTTTACAAGAGACTTACCAATCATTTTATATTTTATTATGATTTTTTTTTTTATTAAGCGACACTATCTCTAAGCTGTTTTTGTTCGAAGGAAACAAATTGTACAAATTATTTAAAAAAAACCTACTTTAAACAAGTTGTTTTTTGAATAATTTTGTAATTTTTGATGTATGACATGAAGATGCTCAAAGAAGAGTTTTAGAAATACTAGCGCAGGTACAGCATTAAGATGAATAACTTCTCCAAAAGCATCCAGGGCTATAGTTGATTAAAAACTGTCTAAACAAAGATTTCAAATTTCAATTTGTACGTCTACATGTTTGATTTATCAACAGTTCTTTAAACTTTAACATAAAAATTGTGTTAGGCAATGTCAAAAATAAAAGAGTTCACGTGAATTACGCATTATTCTTTTTTTCTAAAAATTGAAATCCTACTATCGTTTGCGAGAGGGGTTTGACAAAACTTCCTCTATCGCTATTGTAATAGAAATTTTGCCCATTTTTAATCTTTCCAACATTTATCTACTACTTTTTCTACATCAAATTTACCATAGCACTTACTGTTACCACAAGGCTAAATTTTGTCTTTCAACTCACTGCTGAAAGTTGTGTTTTCTAATTAATATTTTTAGTTTTAAAGTTAGGTAGGCATGGTAGCTTTTATTTATTCCCGGTGGAAAATTGGTTAGGGTCTAGCTTACGATATTCTTAAAAAATAAAGACAGCGATTTGGCCACGAGGATTGCTAGCAAATAAGTTAACAACTAGCTGGTGACAAGTTACTAGCTTGTGATAGCTTTTTGCGGTAAAACTGCGATAGAGGTGTAGTGGTAGAGCTCTCGCTTTATAAGCATGAGGCTTTTAGTTTAAACCCACCGCATCCCTGGTAAGACCACGCCCAAATTATTTCTCCGCTTAACAGCCTTGTTTATCAAGGGTCATATTTCAAAGTTATAGAGGGTTTCAACCATATTTAGATTAGCCTTCTCGACTGTAGTGACCTTCTCGGTCATGAGGAGGTGAATTAACATTCAAAAAAAAGTTGTAACAATAAAACATCAATTTGGCTTGGAGGATTGCATGCTAAAAGAGCTATTAAAAAATTTCATTACATTGTTGTATTACCTGCTAATATTATGCTATCATACTTTTACAATTAATACATATTTTAAATAATTTAAACTTATTTATTTAGGTTTATTAAAATTTGTTTTGATGTTATAGTTAGCTACATACTTATGATCTGTTGCTTTCAATATATCATAAAAATATATCTAGCTAAATTATCTCAATTTATTGTACTCACTATTTTCTTACTCCTTATTCAATTTTCTACCTTTATAAATCTGTTATTCATCTTTGTATGGAATACTATTGATATATTTGGACTGCTAATGATGTTTTTTCTCTTTTAGACATAGTCCAAAAATGCATTGTAAGAATAGTCAGACCAGCTCCAGCTGCCAAGCTTGAGCCTCTATGCCATCATCGTAGAGTTGCAGCTATTTCTTTTTTCTACAATTGCTAACATGATTGCTTTATTGATTTATTACTATGTATTTATTAGGGGAGATTTATAAAAAAAATAATAGAGCACTTTGATATTGATATATATACTTTGAATATTTGTGTATGATATCATGTAACCTACTAAATGAAAAATTTGAATGTCAAATAAATTATTTTCATGACATTGATAAAGTTTCATACCAGCATTGAAAGAAAAAGAATTTAGGTCTTTATGGCAATACCTGAACTACAAGATGAGACAAAACGAAGAAAAACTGGGGGAAAAAGGAGGTCTTTTTAATCTAATAATCACAAGTTGCAAAAAGATTTTTTTTTTAATTAAAGTTGATATCATCATCATCTATTTTATTATCATTATTAAAATGATGATCAAAATAATAAAAAATCAAAATTATCAAAACGTCAAAATCATCATTTTTTGATTTAAAAATCAAAAAATTAAAAAAACCAAAATTAAGCAAGTGTCAAACAAGTTAATATATATGCATGACAATAAAACCAATTTATATTAATAAACTTATAAAAACAACAAGAATAACATCAAGATTAATAAATGATTAGTTACGTCAAGACTTAATATTTTTTTAGTGAAGTTATCATTTTGTATTTAAATGGTTTTTATCTCTAACTAAAAAAAAAGCTCAATATTATTTTATGCTTAGGTTTTTTTATTTTAATTTTTTATTATTTTTTTTATTTTAAAATTATAAATTACGTTTAAAAATACTGGGTCAACGTTAAAAACTGCGTTTTTAACCCTTTATTTCCCACTGACGTCATATAGCGTCATTGACTTCATACAGAAAAAATAGGCATTATGCTGACCATGTTGGGAAAACCTTTGTGCTTATGAGTAAAAGTAGTGTTTTCACGCAATCTTTGCAAACAATCACAGTTATTTCCTCCACATAGTTAGCATACTACCTATTTTTGCTATGTTAATCCAATGACGCAATATGGCATCACTGGAAAATAAAGGGTTAAGAATATGTTTTTAAATATAAATTACGTTAAAAACTGTGTTTTGTATAATATAAACTATTATCAAGAACATAATAACTTATACTAAAACACAGTATTCATAAGAATAAACGACTCTGAAGTATAAAAGGGTGGTACTTTATATATATATATATATATTATATATATATATATATATATATATATATATATATATATATATATATATATATATATATATATATATATATATATATATATTATATTTATATATATATATATATATATATATATATATATATATATATATATATATATATATATATATATATATATACATGTATATATATATATATATATATATATATATATATATATATATATATATATATATATATATATACATGTATATATATATATATATATTTAAAGTACTACCCTTTTATACTTCAGAGTCGTTTATTTTTATGAATTATGAATACATTTTTTTGTGGCAAACAAAAATCTAACTCTTTTATTAAAAGAGTTAGATTTTTGTTTGCCACAAAAAAAAGTAACAAGAAAAAGAGGTTTAGAACCAAAAAGACTTTTAAGGAACTTCTGATACAGTTTTTGGAACAGTTTAAAATGTTTTCAGAAAATGGTCTTGCAAATACCATTTTCTGAAATAATGTTAAAAATAATTTTAAATGTTAAAAAATGAAAGACTACATAGTTCATTTCTTTTGTATACTGGTTCTTATGTACTAAAGATACATACCGAATTAAAAGTATCAATGCATTGGTTATGCATGGATGCTGTTAAATTGATTTGGATAGCTGTAATGTTGAGGCTGTGGAGTATTATGGTTCAACATTCACAACATACAACGTACATAACCTGGTTCGTTTGTTATATAATTTTGAATGACTGCTTCTTGATATGCCTGCTTTTTTATTTAAAAATTGTTGAGTCTGAAATTATTGGTTTTTGGTAAGAAGATGCCACTGGCTTAAATTGTCAAACGTTTAAGTGAAATAAGTAGTAAGGATTGGAAGAAAAAACATCCAACAATGTGACCACTGGTGTTAAAGAAAGCTATTTATTAAAATGACTTTTAATAAATAGCTTTCTTTAACACCACTTTTGGCTTCTTTATTGTACCATGCAGTTCAAGTTATATCAAAATAATGTCTTTGCCAAAATAACCCATGTTAAAAGGAAAACTTCACTGAAATCTGGACTCAAACCTAATAATATTTGATAAATAAACTTTATTTATATATTTAATAAAATATTTTTAGGGGCAGTTTTTCTTCATTAGTTTTGCAGTATATTGAAGAATTGTTTTTTCTATTTTAGATGATGTTGCTAAACAATTTGCGGTCAATAATCTTTTGAAAGACAGTAAACTTAGGTGAATATCAAATAGCAACTTAATCTAAATTTTGGTATTTGTAGTATTTCATTTTGTTTATTACGAATGTGCTTTTTTTTAGGTTCTTGAAAATGCTTACAATTGAATTTGTTTGTAACTTTATGTTTATTCATATAACCTCGTTTCTTAGACTCAAACAAAGAATACGCGAATTTACTATATAATATATATATATATATATATATATATATATATATATATATATATATATATATATATATATATATATATATATATATATATATATATATACATATATATATATACATATATATATATATATATATATATATATATATATATATATATATATATATATATATATATGTATATATAAAATCAGTAGAAACATATATATACATATATATATATATATATATATATATATATATATATATATATATATATATATATATATATATATATATATATACGCAAACTACAAAGTCCATCTTCCGTTGTGTAGTCAATATTTTTATAATAGGTTTTACTTACGCAATTCGCAATTTCTGCCTTCATTTTTCATACAAGATTCATTTCGAAAGTCAATCGTTGTTTGATTAATTTTTTTTTTTTTTTGAACTGATTTTTTTGTTTTCAAAAATTTTAATGAATATCTTACTAAATCAGTTAATGTTTATTTAATTATACCCGACAATATATCATGGTTTTATATTTATTAATAAATGATGGTATATAAATCTAATCCTTTAAAAATTTACGAATATTTTTTAATCATTAAAGTTTAATTATTAAAATCAAAAAACTATTTTTATTTTGTTAAAAAATTATATAGTAAAATGGGGTTCAGAAGAGAAATAGTTTAGAGTTTTAATTAGTCTTTTCTTTTTAAAAGGAAAAATATTTTCAAATTTTTTAAAGTTGAGAAGAATTTTGAACTTTATTTAAATATATACTAATCAAATAAATTTTTTTAATGTTTTTAAGAAACTTTATTTAACTGAAAAAAAAAATTATTTTACTCTACCCATACATATAGCGACCAAAGATTCAAGTTAACGAGTAATTTAAAAACACCTCATTAAATAAAGCAACCAATGATAACAATTAAAAAAACAGCTAATTAATTAAAAAAAAAAGTTCTCTTGTAATGGCATTGATTCGTTGAGGTGTTCTGAAGATTTTTTTGATGCAATAAAAGATGGTGCTTTTTATATATAGCTTTAGTATGCATGTTTGACAAAGCCAAACCTTAAATTTTGAGTTTTTTCACTGACGCTTTTCATTATTTTGACTTGTTAAAGCTTCTCTAAAATATTACAGCACTTTTATACTTGATTTTGTTTGCTGCTGTTGTTGATGTTGGAGTCGTTGTTGTTGCTTTAGCTGCTTTTTTGCTGTTAACATCATTAAACATTTTAGCTACAAGTAATTTGAAAAAAAAAACAATGTTTTAAAATCCAGTGACTATTTGCATACATGTAAAAACTTCATTAGAGTTAAAAAGTTTTGGTTAAAGCATTATTATGAAAAACTTTTTTCTTCAAAAAGTAATTAAAGCCGAAGACTTTGCAACAATTACCAACATCTAGTGCAGTGATCCCCATCTTTTTCGATGCTGCGACCCCTCGATAATACTTGCTAACTTGTAGTGACCTCAAAAATAAAATTAACAAGGTTCCTCGTAAATTACTGCATTTTTGCAATTAAAATGTTTTTTGACATCTAAATTTTTGATTTTATTTAAACTTTATGCTTTAAAGACACCATATTTTTTGTTGTAACTTTTTTTATAATTGATTAATAACAACTTATCAACAAAGCTTTTTATAACTGATTTATTATAACTTATCAAAACTGAAAAAATGATTTATATATTTTTATAGTTGATTTATAATAACTTATCAACAAAACTCAAAAATGATTTATATATTTTTATAACTGATTTTTAAAAAAATGATTCATATATTTTGGTTAATATTCACAAAGGAATAAAGGAGTAAAATGTTGGCATTGCAAACATTTTACTAGGCCTTAACTTTAAAGTTTCAATCGTTTGTGAATATTAGTTGTATAATATATACTGCACAACGCACACTTATAATATTTAAAACTTTACAATTTTTTAGTTGTACATTGTGCAATGTACATTACACAACTAAGAGTCACTCAATCGAAGCTATTAACTTTAAAATTGAAGCTCTACTACATGAAACTTGATAATAAATAAAGTTAGAGAAATGAAAAACTAATTAAGATCAATTATAGCTGCAAAAATGCTAGAATAGCACAGCTCAAAAAAGCGTCAGTGAGAAGACTGTTCTCGCTTCTTTCTTGCTGAATCAGAAATTCTTGCAGCGGTCTTTTGTGAAAAATTTATTTGAAAAATTTTTGAATCACATTTGCGTCTCCTAAAAAAAAAAAATCCTCCATTTACGATATTTTAGGACTTTCAGATTTTGGTGGATAGGGGGGGGGCATGCATACCCCAAGTCCCCCTCACCCTCTTATCCAGGATCTGTCACTGGTTATAGCTACAAAAATATTAGAGTTGCCAAACACAAAAAATAACAGTGAAAAGGCTGTGTTTACTTTTTTCTTTCCGAGTCCGAAATTCTTGAAGCGGTTTCCATTGGTCGAATGAATAATTGTATTGTACGTTGCTTCGGCGTAATGACTGCAGTCGGAGTATGTGTATTACTTAAATTTAAAATGATAAAATGAACCACTAACTGGTGTAAACAAATTTGTATTCAGAAAATTTAATGGCGACCCCTGGCAAATTATAAGGTATCCCCCTCAGGGTTCATGACCCATAGGTTGGGAACCGCAGATTTAGTGGCTGCAGAATGTGTGGCAAAAGAACAAATAAGCAAACTAACAATATATTGTTTTCAAGCAAATGAGTACGACTTGATAGGTTACATGTATCAAGTGCCTACTTATGACTAGTATATGAACACCTATAATTAAAGGTAATTATAGTTAGATTTACTTATATAACTAATTAGAGGCTGGATCATTGCTCAGTTGGTTAGAGCGTCAAATGAAATGTTAAAACCAAGACTATTGTGCAATACGAATTTAATTTTGGCCACCACCAACTAAGCGCCTGAGTAGTATTTCAGTACAAAAAAAATTGGTCAACAACGGACGCTACTTTGGATAAGTCTTTATGACTATTTGTGGGTGTTTCTTACTAAGCCAGCAATATCTTCAAATATAAAAACATTGAATAACAAAATATAACATAAAATTCAAAAAAATATAATAAAGTTCAAATAAAATAAAAAATTTCCAAACATATATATATATATATATATATATATATATATATATATATATATATATATATATATATATATATATATATATATATATATATATATATGTATATATATATATATATATATATATATATATATATATATATATATATATATATATATATATATATATATATATATATATATATATATATATATATAGAAAAGGATATTTTTTTTGAACTACCATGTAATCAAAGGTCCTTCAAAATAAATATTGTCTGCTTGTATTCGACGGACTAGATGTGTACAAGGATCACCAGTTTTTACCAATTCAGCCATTAAACAGGTTTTAGAAGCTTATCAGCATGTCCAGGTTGGAAACAAACGCTGGAAATATTTTCGCGTCATGGTAAGAAAGGAGGCGTGAACTTCCTGGTTAAATGCACTACCGCAATGCTTAGACAGGACCGTTAGGTCTTGTTTGGGCACCTAAATAACAAAATAAAATAAAAAAAGGATATACGTGTAATAGGGGATTTTTTAGGGATCATTTCGTTCTATTGCTGACTTGTTAACCGTTATAACAAAAATAGGTTCTGTTGATAACAAAAGTTGGATAAAGTCTAAGTTTTGTTAATCATTTTATTTCTACTGATTTTGTTCTCTATCTCTATAAATATTATATTCGTCCTGGTATTGAAAACTGTTGTCATAATTTTTAACTAATTTGCTGCTATCTCCCAACGTAATTAGTGTTTGCGTGCAACCTTGTTTGTTTTTTTTTCAATAAAATTTTCAATAAGAAAAATGAATAAGAAAACCTTGTGTTTGACATAAATGCTTTGTTGATACCGCAAAGCATATATGCTATTTGAATGTTAAGTAGCTGTTACGTTGTAGTCAAAGCCTTGGATTAAATAGAAGGAAACAAGAGCATGTTCATTTAAATCCAGTGATTTTTTATTAAATTACCAAGTTTTAATTAAAATGAAACACAAAAGTAAAAATTGTTATTTCGGAATTTAATATTTTAAATTATAAAACTCAAAAGCATATAGTTAATTTGCTTTGTTTAAAAGGTTTTCCTTTTTCAAATACTATCCTTTGGTTGCAAAGTTTATTTTTCCGGTTCCACCTTCAAATCAACGCCATTTTTTTAAGTTTGACTTTTTCAAACGCGATCTTAAATTTTTAAAGTTTCGTTTACGCATTTGCTCAAGCTTTTTTTTATAATCTAATTTGACTAAATCAGACTTCAAAGTCGAACTTCACTCAAGTTCGCTACTTGCATTCGACCTTTAGTTTGGTATTTGTGGTTAAAGAAAAAAAGTAAGTTTAGAAAATGCTTGGTAGCATACTATTTTTAAACTTAAACATAAAAAGAAGTATGTTAAGAAAATTTATTTCATAGACATTAAGCACTCCGATTTCTCTTAATAGTGGTCTGGCATTTGCGTATTTATTTGCAGTTAATATCAAACGGCTAGCTCGTTTTTATATTTTGTAGGTCGTATTTGATTTTGAAAGATAAGTACTTTCCCAGATTATGTTGCAGTAGCTTATGTAGCTATGAATAAATGCAAAATAAATATTTTTTAAACAATTTGTGTTCAGGAGATGTTTTGTTTTATACATAATACAAATAATTTTAGATATTTTATTTTCATTAGTGTGAAATGATTACTCCAGCTAATATGTTCAGGCCCAATTAGGCCCAAAAACCTGATTGAGACATACAATTCTTTTTTTTTTTTATTAAATTTATTTCCAGACCATTAGAAGTTTATTCGGATTCTCGCCCCGTTAATTATGAAGAAAAGAAGAGTTTGAATGTAAAATCTTTTTACGTATAAGAAAAAAAGTCTCTTTAATTAAAAATTTAATGCGCTCAGACTTTTTTTTTTAGTTTATTTAGCAATATTTTCTGGTAAAAACGTCGCTCTACGTAATATATGAGAACACGAAAACTCAAAGAGAATAGTAAAATCCTGTCACCGAGTAAATTTGTAGTAGAGAATTAATCAATTTACACATACTGTTTACGATCGCTTAAATAGCTCTTAAGTAATTTTAGAAAATTACCACAGACTCCATACTATTTTATTTTTTTAATAAGAACCTCATGATCTATCGTATCGAAGGTTTTTAATAGATCTATGAACACAGCAAGAGTAAACGGTGATTTTTCAAACGAATCTGCAATATTTCTCGTCAGATGAAGCTGCGTGTTTTGTGGAACTATTTTTTTAAAACCCATATTGGGTTGAATTTAGTATTTTATTTATAGAAAGATGATAACAAATTTTATTGCAAAGAATCCTTTCAAAAATCTTTAAAAAACTAAAAAGAAAAAAAATTGGACGATAATTAGTTATATT